GTGTGTGTGTGTGTGTGTGTGTGTGTGTTGGGAAATGGATTGGGGATAGATGGGATGATGGTAGAAGTTATGTGAGTAATGTGAATGTGTGTCTATGTGTATGGGGGTGAGGGGATGTAAGCTTATGTGTATTTGCGTTCATATCTCCTTCTTGAACAATAGTTTTTTCTGCTTTATTGCTTCTGGTAAAAGCACTTCAGAATTTGAAAGAAAAGCAGCAACTAACACACAGGTGGTAATGCAAAAGTTGGATGGATTGTTAGTATTGCTGGAATGGGCTGGTTTTCAACTTGCTCATTCACCAATAGGATGGGATGCAAAATTATTTGAGAAGTGCCTGTTCTTCTATACTCTGCGTCTTCAACAAGAGGTGGCTTGAAATATCAAGCGGATTTTGCCCTAACTTTCTGTTTCTATATATCTTTGCACAGTCTGGGGCTCATTGTCAAGAAACTCCGGTTCAGATAAGGAGAGTGTTGGAAACAGCAAATAATGAAAAATGTCGAAGAAGAGCAGTAGCAATGTGGAGAATTAGTCAAGACATTCTCAAATTTACATGAAGTTTTTTTTTTTTCCCTCACTGGTTGCTCCCAGGTGTATCAGACAAAATCGTTAGTGAACATCGCCACCTTGCACCTGGAGAATGGTGACACCTATCAGGCCATCATCTTCTACGAGCGTCTGCTTCACTTGGAGGCGGAGCTCCTGTCACAAGTTGGAGGGTCGCCAGGTGGCATGCCCGATTACTGGACCAGAGAGCTGCAGTGTGGTCTTCATCTCAACCTGAGCATCGCGTACAAGACAATTGGAAACATGTCCAGTGCTTTGATTCATGCTAGGAAGTGAGACTGGATGTTATTTGGTGTTTCAGAGCTGTTAATGTTTAACTCTTTCTTCAAAACAGTTTAGATTACTGAGTAGGTGAAAGTCCTCGTGGTCATTTTTGTTTGGTTCAATGTAAATTGTTAGGTATGTGTCCCATCATAAAGACAGACTTATTTTCTCCTCTGTGGAATCAAACTTATGTCCTGTGGGTATAAAGATGGGGGTGTTTTAATGCCATATGTGAGGCAGCGTGGTGGAATCAGGGTCTCGTCAAAATAATCAAAGTGAAGAAACTTGCATTTTTCCGCAGGTTTGTGAATTTTTATCAAATTTTTGTTTTTTGCTCAACACCTTTCATGGCCATTAAAGAACTCATTTCTATGTGAATTTTTCATAAAAACGTTGATTAAAGGCATAAAAATTTAAATTTTCAGTTAACATGGACTCTTAAGCTAAGGAAATAACTAATCTTTGGCGGCCATTTTCTCACTAACTTTACCTCTGAAAACAGGTGACCCCGACCTTCTTCATTTGCAAATATCTTGACTTGTGTTCAAGATAAATGGATACTTTTTTTACCCAAATAAAGACAAGTGAACAAGCTTTAAGATGATACCAATAACTCTACAAGCCCAAAAATTGACGAGAGCCTGATTCCACCGCGCTGTCTCACATATGTCTTGAGGACTCCTTTCAACACATGATTTTTTAAAGAAGTGGAACACTTGACGTCCTTGTTTGACAGACCTGAGTAAATTGCTGGCCGATACAATAGGCAATTAAGCCTGTATAGAGATATTTGCAAAACTGCCTCTGTAACTATGGTTTGGCATGATACTAACTGAGCTAACAGCACACCCAGCTGTTTAAGTTCTCCATATATTTGGTGAATTATTCTGTTTCTCCCACGTCCCCTCTGCCTTGTACGGGATGAAGCAGACCTACAGTTGATTAGTAGGACATGTGGTTGTCTGTCATTTAAGATTGTTTCTTTTACTTTTTTCCCCCAGTTGTATGACTGTCTTTGTGTTAGTGTTCAGATTACTCATATTTTTCTATTTTTATCTTTTGCGGAGAGTTTCATTGCTGTTGGTGTTTGTGCATGTGTGGGATTATATAGATATATAAATAAACACAGACACACAGACTCACACTCGCACACACACACACACACACACACACACACACACAGACACACACACACACACGCACACACCCACCCACACACATCCGTACACACACACACACACTCACACATCCACCCACAAAAAACATGTACACCTCTACGTGCATGCGCACACACACACACATACACACACACACACACACACACACACACACACTCATACACACACACATACGCACACACACATACATATACGCACACACCACACTCATGTGTATACACCCACACACACTAATGACACACGTACATAAACATTCAAACGGATACACATGTGCACACTCCTTATAAATACACTTTTTTAAAACACACACACACACATCCACACACACATACACTCACACATCCACACACAAAAAACATGTACACCTATTTGCGTGTGCACACACACACACACACACACACACATGCTCACACATACACACACACACACACACACACACACACACACACACACACACACACACTCACACTCTCACACACTCTTACACTCAGACACACTCACACACTCATACACACTAACACTCATCAACACTACCTCCTTCCTCTCTGCCCTCCAGGTATATGGGACTCACTCAAAAGTTTGGACTTGACCCTAAGCTTGTGGCTGAGTCCCATCATAACACAGGGATGCTCAACGAAATATTGGGTGAGTGTTTTCAACAGCATGATACAATCTGCTATACTGACTATGATGTTGGAGGGTATGATATTTTGTAGTATGATATGGTAAAATCCGTTTACACTGTAAGATGATTTATTTGAGAGGTTGTTTGAGGAGTTTTTTTGTGGCTTTTCTACCCTCTTGACTAAGTTGTATGGGAGTGACATTTAATGGGTAGTTACAGTACCCCTAAAATTTTTTAAAGTACAAGATTCTCCAAGAAACAGACTTTCAGACTTAATTTCTATCTATCTCAGATAGGACAAAGAATTATGGACAGGGAGTCTTAAAAGCTCCCCAAATGACTAAGTTCAAGAACGCCTTGTTAGGGATTCAAATCAGTGTAATCCCTCTGTATTTCTAGTATGCTGCCACGGCTTTTTCTCTCTTCAGCAGTTAATCGTAACTATGTTTACCAGTGGGTTTTTTTCCATAATTTTTTTGCGTCTGTTGACATGAAAAATCCTTTAAGCTTTTCATTCAAGATTTTCCCTTTTAATATTATATATGTGTGTATGTGAGTATGTATGTGTGTATGGTGCGTGCGTGAGTGAATATGTGTTTGCATGAGTATGTAACACTATGTACCTTTAAAATTGATTGTAAACCCATTATATGTATCATGTTAAGCGCATAGAGCATTGCATAAGTGGATATGCGCTATATAAATGCAATCCATTATTATTTTTTTATTATCCCAGTTTTTTGTGTGGTTTTTTTCTCACGGTTTGACTGGTGTATGTTTATTATACATACTATTTATTATTGTTTTCAAATCACATTGGCTCACTGGTTTTGTTTGTTTATCTGATGTCCTGCACTGATATACAAACTTACCAAGTTATATGGATGTGTGGGCCAAAGGCTTTTAAAATCAAAGAAATCATTAGAAATTTGCCTCTGGCCAGCAGATTGTCTTTTATCACCATCATAAAGGGCAAGATCTGAAGCAGATATTGATCATCAATGTTCTCCGTACGTTTTCACTAGATGCTCTTAAATGTTCTTTTTCAGTACCTTCTTTTTTCTGTTCTGTCAATACCCTCATCAGTTTTTAGTAATTTGTGACCACTGTCACACTGACTCCTCATTGTATACTGCACATCTGCTGCAAGTACTCTTAATAATAATAAGTAATAAATAGTATTTGTATAGCGCATAACCTCGCTTTACTGCAAGCTCTATGCGATTTACACTTTATATATTATTACACCAGCAGACCGTGGAACACTCCGAAATATTCTCAGCTTCCTGGGATGCATAAGATGCAAGCAGCTGATTAAGCGCTCAAACACTAACAAACTGACGAGATCTTTCACTGTCTATAGCTGGGTACCCATTCTCACTCGGGTGAAGTGAGGAAAATTCATGTAAAGTGCCTTTTCCACGGACACAACATCGGGTCGTTGACGGGATGTAAACCCACAACCTTACGGTTGCGAGTCTGAGAGCCTAACCATTAGGCCAGTGATGCCACGCACTGTTCTCTCTCTCTCTCACCAGGGAACTACCAGGAGGCACTAATGGAGTACAAACAGTATCTGGCAATGTCAAAAAACAACAGCAATCGGAAAGGAATTGGGCAGGCATATGGGTGAGTTCTGATCAACTTTTTCATGGCACCACTTCTTCATGCTGCATAATTTGATTTGAGACGTCCAGAAAGTGGGGAGGGGGAGGGGGGGTGTAGGGACAGGGACAAAATAACATCTTCCTCTAGCTTGGGGTTGATAATTCATTGCGAAAGAAAAAGTCCAACAAAAGATAAGCAAATCTGACTTATAAGAAGTGCTTCAGCAGATTCTGGTAAGACAGAATGGACTTTAAAAAAAACAACAGATTGTATGCAGAACTTTGAGCCCTTTTTAAAATTTGCTCCCACTAGAGATGATGTGCTCTTTAGGAATATCACTGACTAGGGCTGCCAACTTGATAATGTCTAGAATATAGATTGATACAGTCTTGATACAGTCTTGATCTTGATACAGTCTAGGAGACCTTTATTATGGTCTAAACAAAGGGTGCAAGGTACAAATTTTGTTATAAATTTCAATTGCAGAATGAGTGAAGGCATATTGTTTAGGACTTCAAATGAGGAGTTTTTTCATATGATCATAATCAATAAGTGCCAGATCTTAAATAGACATTGATGATCACGGTGCGCCATTTGTTTCTTTGCTTGGATTCTCTTTAAAAAACCCACATTTTCTTTGTCTTTCCTCTTCACTCATCTGTTCAGGTTTTCAAATAATTTGCTTTGGGTATACCCCTGCCTCTGTTGCCTTCTATTTTTTTTAGTTGAGAGCAATTTGTTCAGGGCCTTTATGTTTATAATTCGAGTGTCCCAGAAATAATTGTATTTGTCTTTTCCTTATTGTTTTTATTAGTGAGCGACCAACAGGGGTTTCTTTTATATAAAATGGAAGAGAAATATCATGTGAGATGTTGATCTGTTTGTCAGTAAAGGATAATTTGGACTAAAAGTGCAGATGAGAATTACAGTGAGAATTTTATAAGAATGCAAATGAAGGAATGATATTTTTTTTCCATGAAGAAGTAGGCATCAGAAAAGAGACAGTTTCATCAGCAACATTCTGTGGTTTTGAAGTGCATTTAACTAAATACCTTTGCTAGACTGTCACATGTTGTCCACAGCTTCAACTGTTTTTTTTTTCGCTCTCTTACTCTTTGTCCCAACTAGCGATAACGAAGCAAATAGAATTGCGTGGCATAAGTCAGAACCAGATTTGATACTATTGAATTATATTATTTTTACCTTCATAAACTGTTATTTCTGTTCTTCATCCCGATGTCCATCCTAGAAAGATGAAAGTTGTTTGGATGTAGTGAATTTTTTAATATTGAATTAATGTTATTATTGTTTAGAATCATTTGTTCTATGTGATATATTTCTTTCTCATCTTCCAGTTGTCTGGCCAGTGTGTATGCTGCTCTGAGGAACTGGTCCCTCTCCCTGTCTTTCCACGACCAGTATATCTCCATGGCAACCAAAGCGAAAGACCGAAGGATGATGGCCATTGCTCATGAGATGATGGGAGACACCTTGTGTGTGAAAGAGGATTATGAGTACGTGAAAGCACATTCAGTTTTGTTCTGTCAACTTTCTAAAATGGCAAAGAAGCAGTTGTTGTTTGGTATTTTGTATACGTATCGTTTTCAGCCCATCTATCTTTATTTATTTCTGTCCACTGCCTTGAGAATACTTTCACTTAAAGATAGTATAGTTTTTATCATATCTCTATTGTCATAGAAACAGGATCATGAATATTTAAACCATACCTTGGGTCATAAATAGAAGTAAGTATGAGTTTGTAAAAGTGTTTGTGTATAAATGTGTATAGATGTGACTGTGTCAGATACTGTGCTTTGTATCGTGAACAGAGATATAATAAATTTGTCAATTTTGGAAAAGATTTGAACTGATTTTGCTACTGAAGATAAAGTTAGAAATTAGAACAAAATTGTACGGGTTATTTTTTGGTTTAAAAAACTTTTCCCATCCAGCAAGCACTTTAGCTTACGCCCCCTCAATGATATGTTCAATAGAAATGTACTGGTCTTGTATATTTGGTTTGTGCTGGAGTTGCAGTCATATGTTTCTAGTGTGCATTATTACTGAAAGCCAAAACATCTCTGTCTTATTACTAGTCTATTATTTTTTATATCCTATTTTATAATCAAATATGTATACTTGAAGGTAAGAGTTATTACAAGAAAAACAATTTCAGAATTCCCGACATTCTGATTTGTGAATTTTTATCATCATCATCTATGTAAGTTAAATCCTTTAACTCATTCGCTACGTATTATTTTCGGCTGGTGGACGAATTTTTTTCGGGAAGGCGAATTGAGATGATGACTAGTGCGCTGTTCAAAGGTCTTTGGGGCCACAAATTCAAATAAATATTAACATATTATGTACTGAAATGATCAGTATGATTTGTAGAATACATCTGTAAAGTTTATTTGTGAATTTTTCAACTTTGGTTCCTGTAAGAGGCGATTATGCAACACAATTTTGCTTGTATGCGGATAAAATTTGAAAATAAAAAATTAATCATCTTCAGTTAAACTCAAAAAGTATGTTTGCACCTAGTCAAATGATACATCAGAATAACCATAAATGAATATAGAACTGGAAAATATGGAAAAATGTTCAGTTATTTACATACATTCCATAAAATTTGCACTTTTGGATCGTGACATCCGATTTTGAAAAAATATTTTAAAAATGTATAATCTTGAAAAATGGACAAGATGTATGCACAAACAGAAAAAACTCCACTAGTATTGTATATGGAATTATTCAGAATTGCATTTGGAATAAACCTACACTCGTCTTGAGTGGTACTTTTTGTGTAATTTCACAAAAAATAGTGATTTTTGGGAGAAAAAAATAATTTGACAATTTAGATCTAGCACTGAAAAATAGTGATTTCTCAATAACAGAGCAATTTGCAATTTGAGCCCAATTGTATTAATATTCTAAAAAGGAGTCCTACATTTCTTTAGTGTGCAAATAACTTCGAAAATGTGTTTCAAAACTGAATCAAAACTTCCGATTTTCGGTGGAAACGCTTGACCCGGAAGTCAACATTATATTATGACCTTTATTTTATCATGGATATGTGGATTGGAATAGAATCTATGCTGAAATGGAAGATCGGTTTTCGAGCCGCCGGGGGCGGCTTAGCGTACTGACGGCACTTTAGCCGCGCCGCCCCCCATGGCTCTGCGTAGCGAATGAGTTAAGGCCTGGCCCCCCTAAACCTTCAGAACTCAGTTTATCTAACGAGCTCATAGAGATGACTGCCAGATTCACATCACCACATTCTGAAGTGTGTCTTCTGTGTGTGGAATGATAAAGACGTAGTAGCACATACTAAGGTGTATGTGCTCAGGTTACAACAAAGCAAAAGGTTTATGATATCATGTTCAAAAGTTTATACTCATGCCACTGTTAAATTTCCTTATGATTGATACTTTGCTGATTTGGCATTTGTTTGAAGATTTAAGGTTACATCTAAGTTTCTTCCTTCATTTCAGGCAAGCCATAGAACATTACAACCACATGCTGATGCTTTGTCGTAACCGTGACAACCGTGGGGATGCCACTTCTAGGTGCAAGATGGCTGCAGCATACAGATCATTGGGACAACTCCAGTACAGTATTTACTACTATAAGTGAGTGTTGCCCTTTGTTGGCTCCTGGCCTCAAAACAATGAAAATAACAAATACTTTATGCAGTGAAAATTTGACACTGGTTGTATATAATACTGTAAATGCTTTTATGAGTGAAAAACAAAACAAGATCAAAGTCGTGAGGTATTTAAAAAACCCATTAACAAACTCAATATCTCTGATTATAATAATAGAAAAGTTCACAGAAAACTTAAAACGGAAATGGCAAATTTGCTGTAAAGGTCTTCAGCAATGTGGACACGAGAACTAAGATGTCAAGATATAATTGGTTATTTTACTTCTTCAAGTGGGAAAATTCGATGGATTACCTCATGAATGCAACAACAGATGTTTCAGTTTTGTAACTTAGATCTGATAGGTCAAGTATAATTCTTGCATGCATTTGAAATCTAAAAAAAAAAAGCACATTGGAGTCTGCTTAAAGTGAACTCTTTGGGGCCAGAAAAAAGTGTTCACTTTATCCAAGGCTCAGTTTGACCATTCTGGTAGGGTGGGAGCCTAGAAACAGTAGCTATGCGCAGTGGTGGGTCTAGGGTGGAGGTGGGATGGGGGGACAACATAGCGGGCGAGCTTAGACTTGAGCTCTTTCTTTTTGACAGAGATTGCCGTCGCCAACGCTGGGCTTTGATTGTCTGCCGATGCCCAAGACAAAGAATTTTATTTTCACAGCATGACGACAGTGACGCGATCGGCCCGTTCTTTGCTTTCACTCATTTTGTGCTTTCACTTGATCCAATTTCCCCATGAAACCGGTTCATTTTATCCACTATTTTTTTACTCAAACAAAGTGCGTATCAATCGGGACAACAGAATATCGTTCACTTTAACCGATTGTTCAAATAAAGCGTGTTCACTTTAAGCGGACTCCACTGTAGAAGCTTTTTCTCTTCAAAATGTACATGTAACATAGACTGTAATATTTTGTTTGCCGTCTCCAGCGAAGCCTTGGCACTAGCTCACAGGTTTGGCTTCCGTGACATTGAGACCATGGCGGAGTTCCACATGGCCTGCATCAACAAGGACTCCACTCAGTACGTGGAGAGAGACGAGGCGCAGAAGTCGTTCATGAGGCTCATTCCCTTCTTTGGTGAGCTGTGTGCGGTAGAAAAAAATATTATGATAAGGGCAGTAAATGAATAATAATGAAAATAATGATATGATCATGATTGTATTGGTAATAATAATAAAGATAATGACGATATCGCGACCTCAGTGCTTTCTTGTCGTGTCTCCATTTTTTTTAACAGTGTGTGATTATAATAATTGTTATGGTGATGATATAATCCTGGCATCAATAAAAGCAACAACAACAACAACAGCAACAGTAGCAATAATAACACCAACAGCAACAGCTATGCTCACAATAATGATGATATTGTTTCTGTTATTATCATTATGATGATGATGATGATGATGATAATGATGATGATGATGATGATGATGATGATGATGATGATGATGATGATGATGATGATAATAATAATAATAATAATAATAAATAGCATTTATACTGCGCATTTCCATTTCCTAAAAGATGCTCAATGCGCATTACAATGAAAAAGACATCACATCTTACAAATTAATCGACACAAATGTGTACGTAAAACAAAGTATTATACATATAATATAAATGCATATATGTAAAATTTTATACCAGAAAAACAGTCTCGCAGTGAGGTTGAAAATGTGTTCACTAAAAATATACAATGATGATGATGATGATGATGATGATGGTAACAATGATAACCTTTTATTTTCTTGGGGTTTCTGTGCAAGGTTTTAGGGTGTTGATTTGGCCATCTCTTTCTCATTTTACTTCTTTCTAGTTACTAGGATAGTTAATGTTTGCTCACCATATGGCCATATTACTAATCAGAGAAAACAGTTTTGTTTTTTTGAGCTAAAGTTACTTGATACAAAATGTTTAACTTTTTTCTTTTGTCTTTTTTGCCATATCTATAATATCTGTGTTGAAGGAGTACAGCCAGGTAAAGGCAGGAGGAACAGCCTTCGTGACCCCATCAGACGCTACAACAACCAAATAATGATGGAGACAATCAGCCTGCCCTTATTGAAATGGACACTTATGAAGAGGGGCAAGGAAGCATGGAGCACTCCGTCTTCCTAAGACCCCCAGTTCTACATTCAAGTATTCAAGCATCTGTGTTGTTTTTTCCTACAGAGCGTAAGATTGTAGAGCATACAGAGGAGAACTCCCACTGCCCGCAGGAGTACGAGGAGAAGCTGCAGCAGTGTTACGATGGGATGCAGGCTGTTCTCTCTGTCATGTCCAACAAGCTGGGCTGTCTGCAGTACGCCGAGGCTCACCGCAAGCGCTGCGTCATCGCACTTCCCAACTTCCATGCTACGTGTCGAGCTAGCAATCATAGTCTTGATTCCAGTCGTGAGGTAGGAGAACATATTGAGTTGTGATGATTACATTTTGTGGAGAAGTCTCACCCTTAGAACGCAAGGGGGATTGGGGGGGGGGGGGGGAGGGAATTCTCTTTTGTTGGATGCTAATTTTTTTTCAATCTCGTTATCTCTGCCAAGCTACTCCCCGTGACGCACACTCTGAACCATTGTGTTAGTGATTTGTTGACAGTGGCTTGGGTACATACCTTTACAATGACTTTGACATTGTATTAGTTTTTGACAATTGACAAAAACAGGTCTCTTTTACTGGAAGTTTTTTCATTAGAGGAAAAAATATCGAAATAGGCTAATTTCTTTTGATTTAATGACCAGTTTAGTGGTGTATGTGTTACTTTTAGGTTTCGTAGTGGGTAAAGCCCCCTCGAGATAAAAAGTTCAGTGACTAATTTTAACTCACTCAGTCCCGTTACCAAGACATCTCGGTCAGCTAGCGGGCTGCGTTCAGTCGCACGACCGAGATAACTCGGTTCTGTAGTTTTGTTCTGTATTCTTGTTATTTCGTTTAGGAAAACAGCCTCAAGTTTTATATAAGGACAATTTATTATTTCCGTGACCTATACTGCCTAGAGGGGTGCTGGAATTTTGCTTCTACTGTCATTACACACGGAGAAATCGCAGTTTTTATGAAGGCCCTTTAGCTCGTTTGTTCATACTGATCAGCTGAGCATATCTTGTAACCGATTCTCTCTACCCTTCTCATACATACATTTCTTTATTCATGAAAATATTCATCAGTCTTTATTATACATGGCATACAATATATATGACACTTACAAGCCTATTTGAATATCAATGTAGCCTAGCTCTTGCTCATTCTGCCATGAAAAGAAAAGCCTCTCAAAATGCCAAATTTCTACTACACTCCAAAGCAAAACTACTAAAGCTACATACTTCAAATCTGGTATATTTTAAGTTCCATCTTAGGATGCATTTTTTGCCTAATTTCAAAGGATTATATTTATGATTACTAGTCGGCCCATACATAAGGGTCAAAATGACAGGTTACTGGGTACATTTTCGGGAAAAACTACGGGGATTGAGTAAGTTAAAGTGCATGATTTACTGATATTTGTCTTAAAAGAGCAAGTGAATGTCAAGTGTGTTGTTTCTTAAAACTTCCATGCAAGCTAAAAGACTGATTGTGGTGAAACTTGTGGTGAAATTTCATGAACTAAATAAAGAACAACACTTCCTGGTGCCCCTCCCACTTTTCAACGCAATGTGTGCAACGTATTTGTTCAACACAAACAACATCATTCTCTTTACTTAATTAAGATAAAACCAGTTTGCTTTCTCTTTCAGAAATGTGAATTCTCTTAATTGTAGATACTTTTTTATCTTCTTAACTCTTACAGGTTGTAGTCTTAGTCCATTTTGTAATACAGCAGGTTCAGTCGATCAAAAATTAATGTTAGGGTTTTCTTTGTCAAAAAGCAGTTTTCAAACAGTCTTGTGCTACCCACCAACACTTTCGGAGAAGTATCTAGATTTGCTAGATTTGCTATATGAGTGGACAATAGGTAACTTGTAATACATGTTTATAATAAATGAGGATCTTAAGAAAAAATCAATAATTTAACGTCTAGTCAGTTGATGTGACAACTTCTAAGAGTTGACGGGTCCTGACTTAATTTATTGTGTAATAATCAATCTACTTCCTTGTGAGATGTTCGGACTGGTTGTTTCCCTTATCCAGATTTGGGGCACAGAACACATGCGTCGCATCGTGTCTGAGCAGAATGCTACTGTGCTCTATTACTCTGTGCTGGACCACTTTCTGCTGATGTGGGTGCTGCAGCCTGCGGAGGGTGTGGTTCGATTTTACACAGCTCGCCTCCCCCCCGGCAGCTCCTCATTTCCCTGTCTGGTGAGTGGTTTGTTACTTAACACTTTGCAGTCACACAGCCAGCGGTACATAATACCCAATCTGGTCACACAGCCAGCGGTACATAATACCCAATCTGGTCACACAGCCAGCGGTACATAATACCCAATCTGGTCACCCAGCCAGGAGAGCGACTGCAATGGACTTCTCAGGCCTGGCGCAGCAAGGTGACCGGAACGTATAATTTTCACCGGCCACCGGCGCATTATTGCGCCAAGTGACTGCAAAGTGATAAAATTCTGTTTCTGGATCTGTTATGGCTTGCACAAGCAGTTGGAGTATACCCCAGATTTTTCTTCTTTTTTCCTATCCCACCTCTTTTTCTCTGGTTGCTATTTCTTTCTTTCTTTTTGCTTTTAAAAAAAAAAGTTCTTGAATCCTCTTTGTGCTGATGGGCTGACCTTGACGTGACAGACATGGCCCACCTGCTGGTTATTGTTGAAGTTCTTACTGTATTTTTCTTGTTTTGAAAATGATGTTAGACAATCTATCCTTATAATCAGAACTTAAATTCATTTTATGAGATACAAGCCTACACATCTTGTTATTTTCTTCCTCTTGATAAAAGAACAAATCACAAGAAATTTAAAGAACAGATTGTTCTTTGAGATTGTTCTTTGAGACAGAGAAGGAGAATTATAGTATGAAGTTTGACATTTCACTCGATAGTTTTGTTGTTGTCGTTATTTATGTTCTTGTTTGTGGCTCCTTGTCAGTTTACTCAGTACCATGTAAATGATATACACATGTATCTCAGAAAAAGCTTAATAAAAGACAGAAACCGATTATAATGACCCTGGAGTTTCAATTAAGTACCATATTCTGACCTATGACCTTTGCCCTCTGTCACAGATCACGGAGCTGCTGGCTGAGGTACGGGAGGGCTGGAGCAAAGCAGATCTGTTCTCCACTTCCGAACCTCGTGCTTTGCCGCTGAGAGATGCTGAGACCCAGCTGTTGAGGTCAAAGAATCTACGACTCAGCAGTGCTAAACCAGTAAGGGTCATGCATCTTCCGTCATACTCTGTTGTCTCTGCTGTTATGGTTAGGCTTAATAAACTCGCCCAAAAAAGTCAAGGAACCGCTTGTGTTTTCACGTGTCGAATTCAAACTTCAATATCTCACAAACCCATTATGATCAGTCTACCAAACTTGGCACACGCACTGATGACAAGACACAGTTTGCCTGTACTGCAAATTTGCCAGCACCAGCTTCATAGCGACGACGCAGGGCATTCTGAAACACAGCCGAAAAGAATGAAAAATGGGTTAAATTTCTCTGACTCAGCAACATTGGCATAGGGATTGTTAGCTAAAACTAAGCTTGGCACGAGCTACACAGATGTCTTAGCTATGAATATTACTCACTTACAACCCTTTATAAGCCGGCGTTTTTCCTGTCATGTTTCATTACAACACGATGGTCCAACAACACTCACTGCCTGACGTCAACAGAGGAGAGCTGTTCCACCCTGAATGCATCCAGCAGGTGGCGCCCTACCTTGCAGGGTCCGTTCTGGTATAGGGAGGCTTCTCAGCTCACCACAGGACCCCGTGTACCATATACAGGACAATTTGACCTCGGCTAGGTACAGGGAGGAAATCCTGCGTCCCCCTTGCTGTTCCTCTCCTGAAGCAGATTGGACCCCAGGCTGTACTGCAGGACGACAACGCCACGCGATATCGCGCACGCATCGTGGGGGACTTCCTGCAGCAACGAGCTGTCACCTGCATGGACTGACCAGCTTTAAGTCCGGATTGGAACCCAACAGAGAACATTTGGGATCACATTGACCGGTGGATAAGGGACAACCATCCTCCTGCACAAGACCGTCAACAACTCTTGGGCTACCTCATCCAGGAGTGCAGAATCTACCCCAACAAGTTTTCCGAAGGCATGTCCTGTCCATGCATCGACGCTGTGCCGAGTTTTTGATCAAACGAAGTGGCTACATCCACTCTTGACAATGTTCATGAAGAACTTTGGCTGTTCAGACTTTTGAAATCCGACCAGTGTGACTTTAACTCATTTTACATAAACTTCTCGTTGTTGTTGAAATCTGAAATTGTTCACACTTAATCTAGAGAGTCGAAAGCATCCTTTGTGAAAAAATGAATAAATTCGGTTAAACTGTTCTTCAGTAATCTTTCTTTGAAATTTTGTTCCTTGACTTTTTTGTGCGAGTTTACCTTGTGTCTGTCTTCTTGCTTCAGCTGAGAATGTTTCTAAGTTTTCTGGGGTCTTTTGGGTAATAATATAATGTAAAGTGCATAAAGATTCCTGTCAAGTGAGGATATGCACATTATCGGTGACCATTTGTGTCAGATTTTTAATTAAGATCTTCATCTTCATAGTTAGATAAAACTCACTCTGCAGGAGTTGGCCTTGACAAGCAGCTGTAAAGCAAAACAGGCTTCCTTTATGATCCTACTGTGGTAATGAAAGTGTAAGGTACTAATATGAAACTGCTTACAACAGAATGTGAGTCCGCTATCTTTCTTTAAGCTTCAAAATTTGCTTGGGGGATGAACTCATGAAAACAAGAGAGGAGGACCAATTGCAGGGGAAAGAGAAAACTTGTCATCTTATACTGTTACATGCTTGGTCTCTGATAAGATCATCCTCTTGCAGGTTTCTTTGTGTTGTAGAAGACCTCTTTTTTCCCTTCATTTTGTATTTCAAGTACGGGGAGTTAGGTATTCTTTCATCTTCTATGCATTGAAGGAAAAATGACATGTTCGTATTACATGAATTTAGAAAGTAGTTCCAGGATGAGACAGCAGTGGTGAAAAAATGTCCAGCGTCTTTTCCAGTGAAGTAGGAGGCAGGATCGAGAGAGGGGAGAAGGAGGAGATGGAAGATTCACAGTTTTATACAAATGATAATGCAAATATCTTGTTCTATTTTGAAGAGGAGGAGGAGGATTAATGTGTAAAAGAGGATGAGGATTTACAATATTAGACACTTTATAACGCAGGTATTTTGGCATATTTTAGAGGGAGAGGTGGAGGAGGAATATGTAAAAGAGGATGAGAATCTGTAATGTTAGACAAATTCGCAGGTACCTGGGCGTAGTTCATCTTTTCTCATTTTTAACTCAGGCCACAGAAAGTGCCAGAAGTCCTGATGTGAAGAAGCCTGCCCTTAGACGACTGTTTGACCTCCTCGTGGCGCCGGTCATGGACATCCTCGACAAACTTGAAGACCAGAGCCACCTGGTGGTCGTGCCAGACAAACAGCTCAAGTTATGCCCCTTTGGCGCTCTGTTGGATTATGGGAACAGGAGCCTTGGAGAGAAGTGAGTTGTGTTGAATGTGTGTGCATGTGTTTTGTATGTCTGTAGCTCAAACGTGAGTGTTTTCATAGTGACTGTCTACAGATGTGTGACGAACGAGTTTGAGAACTTTACTTCTCTTTCGATGCTGTTCATGTTGATTATTTAAATTCACTACTACTAAGGGAACATTGTGTTTTGTCATGACAGCAATGTAATGAGAGAGAAGCTGCACTTGTAAGTCCTTCTGTGACTTTTAAACTGTGGATCTTCTTCAACATTGCAAAAAGTGGAAGTTTGGATAAGAGGCAGAGAGAAACTGGGGCTGTGCAGTGATGCTCATTCATACAGTGAATGTCAAGACGAAATTGAAATTATGATAGATATTTTCTTTTCTTTTTCCTCTTTTTTTTGGATTAACCTTGCTTTGCTTTTTTTGCTGTTTTATATTTGAGTTTTTACTGTCTAGAACGTAAAATAATCTTGTGTGTCAGTATGTGCACTTTGCATTCAACTGGAAATGAAATCTGCTTTACACTTTTCACGACACAAGGTCAATTTGTGCTTTCGCCTAGCATAATTGTGGATCACGAGGGACAAAGGATGGTGCTTGATTTTGCAGTCAATTGTCTGTAAAAGTGAAAGATTTCTTTATATAGTAAAAGTATCGCTGAATTAGCTTTACGTAACGCGTCGAATAGAAACAGGAGAACACAAAATATGAGGAACAGAGCTCATTGTTATGGTCCGAGCATTTTGCGAGGTATGTTGACTGTAGTTTATCAAAGGAGCATATGCCTCCCTCTCCGCAATACAAAAAATCATAAATGGGCTTATTTGTCCCAAAGGGATAAGATAGCACAATATTTGATTAAAAAAAGATTATGAGTGAATAGTCTCCTGATTTCTTTCTTATAACTTTCTTGTCCTTAGGTTCAACATCACTTACCTCCCTTGCCTACTGCTTCTGGACAGAGTTGTTCAGAATGAGGTCGCCGCAGTCAGTGCTGAGGGGGAGTTGGATTTCCAGCGAGATCAATGCCGCAAAGGGGGGTTACCCAAACAGATCTCGGAGCATTCAGAAATTTTGAATTTGTCTCCAGATCCTGTAGATGATATTGGTGAGAGTGAGGGATGGAAGTTCATGTAGTTTTTGCTTTAAGATGTTTTGAGTGAGCTCCCAATGAGGAGATTAGACGTCGATACTTTATAGATCATCCAGGGAAAGAAATTAGCAGTGCATGATATTGCAATATTACACTGTATGATTCCCAAGAAATCGAAAATGTTTCTGAGTGTTCTAGGATTTGCCGAGATAATAAAAAACATTCTATAGAGTATGGATATGCATTAAAGAAATGCAATTTATATTATCATCATTATTGTTATATTAAGCTTAGAGAGAGACAAAAAATAGTTACTTTTGTTTAAATTTACTGCTCTGTTAGACAAGAACTGTTTTTCGCAAGGCAGATCTTTGTTCCAGTATGTGCAATTAGGAAAGAAGGCAGAAACAATCCCCTAAGAATGGATGGTTGAAGATTATCACTCGTATGCACTGCTTTGTTACCACCTCTCTGTTTCATTTTTTGACCTGTCCTGCTGTTTCGCAACACTAATTAAATGATGATGTGCTTCTCTGTAAATCAAGATGAATGTCACGCTTCTGCATCTGAGTGTAGAAAATCAGGTGTACTGTTTAACATTTTAAGGACCAGCATCTGAAGTGTAGCTGATAAGTGCTTCGCCGTTGTGTACAAAAAACCTGAGTTTGATTTCTTTGTAGGGATAATTTTTGTTGCGTGTCTTGGGTTTTTCTGCTGGGACGTTGTATCCCTCTCAGCCTGGGTTGGCCTTGAGAAGCAGGATCTGACCCATCTTCTAAACTATCTAAATTGTGTCTGTGGGGATGTATTTTTAAAAAACCCAAACAACCCCCCCTCAAAAAAACCCCCAACCCAACATCAAACAAAAATCCCAAACAAACCAAGAACAACCCAACCCTTTTTGAGGGGATTGCTTGCACCTCCAATTAAGATGCTGTAGATTCCAGATACAGTGAAATGGGGTCAATGTCCGTTGCTGGAATCTGCACTGATTGTAGTTGTGTACTGTTTTTGCTCTGTGTCCATAGTTTAGAAAAAAAGGTTATTTTAAAATCTGTTCAATACTATTTTTGTTGACATATATTTATTTTGATATCTCTCAGTCTGAACAGTTTTAATCTTTGTCTCAGTGAGCGAGTCAGCTTTGTCCAGAGAACCGACCGTAAATCTCAGAGAGGTGTCCAACCCCCGGCTGGCAAGCTCAAGGTCGCAAGAAGTTTCCTCCTCCAAGGTCAACAAGACGGCTAGGAGTCGAGAGTCTACGTTTGTATCGCTGGGTGGGCGATCCCATCGAGATATTCCAACCCCTGTGCCAGAAAACAAGCCAGTGGTACCGGTGAAGCCATCGACTATGTCGCTAGGTATGTCTGTCCATACAGGACTTGGATCAGGAGATCTCGTAATGTAAAGGAGAAATGGTAGCAAAATGAGATATGTACATATATATTTGTGTGTGAGTGTGTGTGTATGTGTGTGTATGTGTGTGTGTGTATGTGTGTGTGTGTGTGTGTGTGTCTGTGTTTGTGTGTATATGTGTGTGTGTGTGAATATGTGTATGTGTGTGTGAGTGTGTATGTGTATGTGTGAGTCTGTGTGTGTGTGTGTGTTTGTGTGAGTGTGTGTGTGTGTTTGTGTGTGTATATGTGTGTGTGAGTGTGTGTGTGTGTGTTTGTGTGAGTGTGTGTGTGTGTTTGTGTGTGTATATGTATGTGTGAGTGTGTGTTTGTGTATATGTGTGTGTGAGTGTGTGTGTGTGTGTGTGTGTTTGTGTGAATATGTATGTGTGCGTGTGTTTGTGTTTGTGTGTGCGTGTGTTTTGACTCACCTTACCGTACCATATTCAGGTATGGTAGGCTGCATCTGTCCTGCTGTTGAAAACGCTCCCCCAATATTTCATTGTGCATCCCTGTATTGTGATGGGACTCAGCCACAAGCTTAGGGTCAAGTCCAAACTTTTGAGTGAGTCCCATATACCTGGAGGGCAGAGAAAGTGGAGATAGTGTGTGTGTGTGTGTGTGTGTGTGTGTGTGTGTGTGTGTGTGTGTGTGTGTGTGTGTGTGTGG